AACTCTTAGCCAAGTAAGTATTAGAGTTCGAAACTGGGTTTATTTTTGTATTCTACTTAAACTTGCTAATTTTTTTTTTATACATAGAATGATTATTCAGAATATACATCTGGATTTATCAAAGATGATTATCAAGAGAGTCGCATTTTATTTTCATCAATGCTAAAATTAGTTAGCAATCAAACCATCCTTGAGATTTGGCATATTAGATTATTTAGTGCTCCAGCATCTTATAATGGACAATATATTATAGTTTTAGATGATGGTACTCATTTATGTTCTTGTATGCTACTTATTGCTAAAGGCTTTTTTTGCCGGCATTTTTTTTCCATTCTGGTTGTTTTCCCGCTTATTAAATTTAAAGTGCAGATGATATCTCAACAATGGTTCTTGAATCCTATATGTGCACCTGAACAATCAATTACTATTCAATTCACACATAATATAACAAGTGTGCAAGAGATACAAAATGATGAGTTGAATAGTAGCTTTGATATCATTGAAGAACTTCGAGGACCAGATTGTTTTAATTACGAAATTCAACAATATACTTCTAAAAAAGCTGAATACTGCCGAGGTATTGGAATCGCCAAAAAAGAAGTTCAAACTGCCCTTGATACTGGTACAATGGATGAATTTATTAGTATATTGCATAACTTTATTGAATCAAAGTCAATTCAAGCTAATAATTTATTGAGATTGGACAATATTGAACTAGTAACGAATCCTCACATTATTTCACATCATAGTCGACCGAAGAAACAATTACAAGACTCTTTAAATAATGTTAATCAATCAAATTCTCAGACAACTTACAAAAAAATACTTCACGAATCAAATATTACAAATAAATCTTCGCGAAAATGTTCTTACTGTAATGGTATTGGACATTACACTAAAACGTGCAAATTAAATTCTAAAAATAAGACTTAGGTGGATATTAATATCAAAGCTAGCTATCAAGATTTAGAGCATTAGGTTATTGATTTTATGTAATAGCGAAGTTTCCAATTAATATTTCAGTTAGTAGTTCAAGCGATTGCATCAAAATGGTTATAAGATTATTGTATAATAATGTATTTATT